CTAGTCATGAAATCCAAAGACCTACATCCAAGATTACTCTATCCAGCAAAGCTTTTATTTAGAACGGAAGGGCAGATAAAACGCTTCTCAGATAAGGTCAAGTTCAAGGAGTTCATCATCATCAAGCCCTTATTATATGAAATGTTAAAGGGACTTATCTAAGAAAAAGAAGATAAAAAATATGAACAGTAAAAAGACAGCAAACTCACAGTTACTAACAACCACACCTAAAACAAAAGCAAACAAAGGGGACACCTAAAATAGGAGCGGAGCCACAGAAATGGAGATCGCATGGAAGGTTAGCAACAAGGGAGGGGGAGAGAAGGAACGGAGTATAAGTAGCATAGCTGGTGGGGAAAAAATAGAGAGGGGCAGGGCAAGAGTAGTGTGGGAATTGTAGAAGCTAAAGAACTTAAGACACATGGACATGAACTAAAGGGAGGAATGTGGGTGGGAGGGAGTGTGAAGGGTGGAGGGGAATGAAGGGGGGGAGGGAACAACTATAATGGCATAATCAGTAAAATACATTATTTTTAAAAAGCTAAAAAAAAACCCTAAATTAACTTGCCATTTAGAAGAAAAGCCAGGGCTAGAACTGACTCCCAGTCTGTGCAAAATACTCTACAGTATCTCTCAATTTACACTTGAAACTTCACCTTAGAAGTTCTTTAAATTAAATTTTTTAATTAAATAAAAGGGGTTAAATATCAAGAACCAACAGAAAATTCTCCCACCAAGCATTAGGTTATTACTGTGGTTTTTTCAAAACAAGTTATTTAGCATAATAAATCTTGGAATAGCACCTCTCTATACCTCCTCTCTGACCACTCACATTTGAACAGCCCCATGCCCCTCTACCTCAGTATATACACTCTTTAAATGTGGCATTTCTAAGGGTTACTCTACTACTGCCCTTCTCACTCTACTCATTCCGAGAGTCAAAATCACGACAGTGCATGAACGGTGACTATTCTAGTAGTTTACAACTGTCACTGAAGTTAATAAAAATATATGTATGTTCAGGCTCCAAGACAGACTTAACTAATGAATAACAATCTCTGGCAATAGGGCCCAAGGACCTCTACATGTTCCTGAGGCAAAAACTATAACATGGTAATTGGAACACAAGCACAACCAACATTTGCTGAACACTGTTGTGAAAACAGGACATGCCAGAATTGTGTAGTCTTTAATAAACTATCTAGCTAATTAGAAAATTACACTTAAAAAATCCTTACTTTTTAATATTATCAATACTAGTTAGTTAATATAGTTGAGTACATTAAGGGCTTTAAGCATTTCTCTACCACTGGTTCATGTTAAAGATAGAAGAAAATCCCTGATCTTTTCTGAAAAGTTCAAAAGGTAAGGTACCATATTTTGTTGTGTATAGTAAATTCCCGTGTATAATGAGTGCCCACATTTTTGCCCAAACTTTCATGAAAAACCACTTTCGTTTTAATGTTTAAATTCAATTTCTTATTACATTTAGATACATTTTGTATTATAAAGAAATCTTGCCCTGGCTGGTGTAGCTCAGTGGATTGAGCACAGGCCTGCGAACCAGAGGACTGTGGTTCGATTCCCAGTCAGGGCACATGCCTGGGTTGCAGGCCAGTTTTCAGCAGGGGACACATGAGAGGCAACCATACATTGATATTTCTCTCCCTCTCTCCTTCCCTCCCCTTCTGAAGATACATAAAATCTTTTTTAGAAAACCTTAGCATTTATTTTTCAACATATTATGGTACAAGAAATTTCATATAACAAATAATTACAAAACACAAGAACAGGTATAACATGCATCCTCATTTTTCCCTCAAAAATTTGGGCAAAAAAGTGTGCATTACACACAACAAAATACGGGAGGTAGCCACAAAGAATTTAAATAAAACAAGACCAAATTAAACTGTAACAAGAGTTACAGAAAGCCAAAAAACCAAGTTTGCTAAAAGAAAGTGTTGACTTATTTCACTGAAGACTAGAACTAACCAGCAGATATAAACAAATAAAAGTATTTGTTGTTGCCCAGAACTACTCCCCCAGGAAAAGTAATCAAATTCCCAAGGGACGATCAACTTGGCAATCTTTTTTACATTTCAATCTTTTTCTCCCAAAAGTGTATTTTCAAATTCACTAATAAGATACCTAATTTCATATGGAAACGTATGCACCACAGGGGTGGGGGGAGGAGCAAGGCATTTAAATTTTTTACAACTAACAGCAAGCTAAGCTGAACTATTTGATAAACTTAAAACTTATTCTCACATTAAAGCAACATTAGTTTTTTTTAAACTAAAAAACTTAAACTGATATTTAAGGACTCTATGAATATAAAGTCTTATAAATCAATAAAAGATAAATATCCCAAAAGGGGGTAAAGTGAGCAAATGCAAAGAGTAATTTATAAAAGACACACCAATGCCCAATACACTTGTTCAAAGTTCAACCTCATCAGTTCTACTTTAGAAAAGTAAGAATGATCATTTTATCCCAAACAAGCACCAACTGATTTGAAGGAAGGAGCAGTGGGGTAACTACCATAACCTTTTCTGAAAGCAATAAGGTACTGTTTCGAATGCCTTGAAAATAAGCAAATCCTTTGACTCAGCAATTTAATTTATCCTAAGAAAACATTCAAAGATTTATCTATGAGGATATTCCCAATGAGGTTTATAAAAGCCAGAAAGTAAACAGAAAGTCAATAATAACAGACAGTTTAGATCTGTGATCACATAAGCACTTGAAAAATATTTACTGACAGGAAAGAGCTGAGATGCCTTCTGCTTTTTTCCTACTGAAAACATAAACAGGACAGTATCATTCTGTTATTAGAAAATATGTATACCTTACTTGGAGTTTCTGGAAAGAGCCACAATTACAAATTTTGGTGTGTCTCTCTGGGTGGCAGCTTATTTTGACTCTTTTTTCTCCTTGCCCAGTTTTTTTCTTAGAATGTGCATATATAACCTGTGTAACTTTTAAAGTTTAAATCTATTAACATAAATAACCTATAACATAACCACAGCATAGTTTACATCTAGTAAGTATACCATCTGGAGAAAAGATGGTCTGGGATAAAAATCCTATCCTTTGATTTACTGATATTTCTAAACACGAACTTTCAGCAAGGGATAAATATTTTATATTTAGGAGCTCTACTTAAAAGCATCCTTAACATAAAGTAGACTAGAAAGAAGTTGTTTTCAAAAACTCAAGCATGGAAACATGGTAAAAGTAGGACACCTAAAAAATCAAGTGTTTTGTAGGTCTTTTTAGTTCGGTTGTTTGCTCTCTCTCCTCTAAAATAATCAAGAATGAATGATGTGGAGTGCATTTCCTATATGTCTGTTTCAGAAGTAGCATAAAGAACCTGTAAGGTCTGACCTCAGTGATTAAGACACACCTAAGAGCTGAGAAAACTAGATGAGATTTAACTATGTGAAAAGAAATCATAAGTTAGTCTTGACTTCTTTTAAGCTAACTGAAATGCCAATAACCTAGATAAAAAGTTTGAAAACATCAGATTTTACACAGTTGTAAAAAATTTAGAGTATTTAATGTTTTACTGTGAATTCCTTTGATAAAGAGTCCTCAAAAAATTTTCTTAATTAATGGTCTAGTAAGTCAACTGTCATATTTTGGGGATTAAATAAAGAATAAAACTTATCCTTCTTCTACAACCCTTCAGTTTCCTCCTTACACCACATTATTTGTATAAAAGTTTGAGATTTCCACTCTTTAGTAATAGCACCAGATATCAGATTTCTTTTACCAGTACTCAAAACACTGCTTTCAAATGGGCCTAAATAGATGGTTTAATTTTCAAAAAAAAGTACTGCTTACTAGACAATACTGTAAAAATCTGTTAATCATGCAAACTCAACAAGTAGGCAGTGACATACTGCTAATTTGCCAATGGATATTAGCCAATCAATTTTAAGGGAAAAAATGTAATGACTGACACACAAGAAAGCACAGTAACTTACTATATATAGTCTCCTTCCATGAAACTTGTGTTGTCTGAAAGTTGCACTAAATCAAGACTTCCTTCTTATTCTTCAATCGTATACCTGACCCCTCATAACTATTTTCAAGTGGAAATTTCTTATTTCCTAAATCTCAAAGATGCAAAATCTGACCAAGAAGGTTAAATAAAATGTGGTTATCTATTTAAACCAAGCTTAACATACTGACCACGAAATAAAATTTACCAGAAACGAGAGTCAGGAAGCAAAAAGTCTTTACTTTCTAAATCACAATAAAGTCCTGTCCAATGTCAAACAATAACACTGCGTTTTAGCTGAGAGTCTGGGTATGCAATTTGCAATAACGCTTCCAATAGCTTCAAGTAAGTTATAAGCTACTACTGGGGAAAGCAGCAGTTAGGCCCCAAACAACAAAGACGTTAAAAAAAAAAAAAGGCAAACAGAAGCCTCACCATCGGAAAAGAAGGGCCACCAGCACCTCTTCCGAGAAATAGTTCCCTTCCCCCACCTTTAAGTAGGCACTTAAGACTGCCAAGCAGATCCATTTCTTTATTAACTGATGCCCGCTTGGGGCAACCGTACACCAAGCTGCTCTTAGGCCTTCTCTAACCCCTTCCAAAAGTGCTCAAGTGAGACTGAAGGCCCGGGGATTCCTCTTCTCCTCCACCATCCTTCTCCGCCCCGCCCCTGTGGTCGCTTCTGGTGCCAGAGGAACACCGGACCCAGAGACAGCCAGGAATTGCCAGCCCGAGAAGTCCCAGGCGGCCAGAGGCCTCCGCCATAGCAGGACCTGGAAAGCACCGCCCCCAGCGCACCTCCCTACACCCGGCTGGCTAACCGGCGAATGTCTGCTTTCGACACTCTCTGTCCCCAGCAGAGGCAGGGAGAAGACAAGGGCGGAGCGGGTTGGGCTGCGCACCAGGCCCAGGCCTGCCCCTCGGGGCCGCGCGGGCCCCTAGACTCTGCTCCCTGGTCAAGCCCGGTGAAGCCAAACGCGGCGGCCACCCTCACCTGGATGACCTCGTTGACCTCCCGGATACATTCCACCATGTGTTGCAGTATCTGCTCGGCCGTGAGCACCTCGTAGCGGTAATCCTCCTCCTGCTCGTGACCCGGCCCGCCACCGCCACCACCACCACCGCTGCCGCCGCCGGGTCCCAAGGCGCTGCCACCGCCGCCGCCCGTCACCCCGCACAGCAGTCCGTCTCGCTCCCCGCCGACGCCCAGCCCGGGCTCTACCAGCTCCACCTCGCCCAGATCCAGGTTATCATCGTCCGGCTCGTCCTCGTCCTCCTCCTCCTCCTCAGCGCCGCTGTCCTCCTCGCTGCACTCTTCGTCCTCGTCGAACTCGTAGTTATAGCCCTCGTCCGAGTCCATGGCGCGACGCGCGGGAGCCCAGCGGACGCGGGTCCTGAGGTGGGGAGAGGGCGGGGACGCCCAGGCTCCGGGTCTCGCTCCGGCTCCGGCTAATGTCCGGACGCAGGCCTGGCTCCGGCCCCGCGGGCCGCGGCTCCTCCCCAAGCGCGGCGGTTGGCAGTTGCCGGCTGGAGGCGGCGGCGGGCGCGGGGGGGGGGGACGCGGAGGAGGGAGGGAGCAAGGGGGCCGCTCGGCTCCCGCCTCAGTCAGACGGGGTTCCACTCCGGCCTCCGAGAGAAAAGAGTCCCCAGCGCCACCTCCACGGGCCGCTGCTACCGCTACTGAGCCAACAAAGGGGCAAGCGTCACAGCGTCGCGCTGCGTAACGCGTCACTATTCTTGGCGTCACCGCGCCCCGCCCCGGCGCCCCTGCGTGGAGTGCGGGGAGACCCCACGGCTCTGCCTGAGACTGGGAGCGCGCCACAGCTAGACTGGTCTCGGTTCCGGCTGTAGTCGCTACGAAGGCGGAGACTGTTAGACCCTGTTCTTGAGGAAGCGGTGACTTCCCCGTCACTGCGAGAGGGCCTTGTCCCCCCAACTCCGCCCCGGACCGCCCAGGGGGTGATTTTGCCACAGGTCTTAGAGATCCGCACCCCTCCCACGAGCGGATGGGAAGCGGCCTTCTAGTCCACCCAGGAGTTATTCTGGGAAGATCTTGGATGTTGAGCCAAAATTCCTGTTCAGGCTACTAAATGGAAGTCTGTTTTATGCAGAACCTCTAAACGTGTGACAGATGAACCTCATCTTAAGTAATTTGTTTCTGTACACTGCCACAAACGAACAGTGGTTTTCAAGTCGCCTATAGCGACGTCATTTTAAAGAAGCTTTTCTTGAGCTCTGCTCAGCAAGCACCCAATTCACGGGGCTCTGTATAAGGGTTTTACCTATTATTTCTCATATTCATGAAGCCACAGTATCCAATCTCCTTAGAAAAGGAACTCAACCAAAACGAGAGAACTCTTCCCCTATTAGCCTCTGCGTGGGTCCCCCCCCCTTTTTTTCTTTGAGTTTTTAAATAATCAGATTTCCTAAACAGAATTTGCACATTAAAGCTTTTAACATCAGTGCTGGTACTGTAGGTTTGGTTCTTGGATTCTGTTTCCACTTACTAACTGTGTTGTTGCCACAACTGGGGCAAGCTAAGGACACTAGCAACTCTTCTCTCCACCTCATCCCCATTGCTAGATACCTACAGGAAAAAAAAATCAGTAGCACCCAGCGGTACCCTAAACTCCTTTGCCCTATCTTTTTTTTTCCCATCATACCCCTACTTTGAATTAACCCTACCATTCATATCCTCCCCTTTGGGACTAGAACAGCTGACCACTACTGCAGAAATCTGTATAACAACATGCATTCTATTACTAAGTTCAAGTGACCAAGCACAAGCAAATCCTCAATACCAGCCCACAATCCTGTTAAACTTTTCTGAATTGTTTCTTCCACCTTAGGCAACTCTTTCAAACCTTCACCAGTTTTCTCCCCCCACCCAACCTTGCTTTTCTAAATCCTCTCAAAGTAGACAGTCACAGAGAATTTTTAAGTCATAAGGACCAATGTAACCGAAGCATGCTAAGCAAAGACAAGATTGTTAAGGGTTATAGTGAGAGAAGGCAAATCAAGGCAGGGGGTCATCAGGGTCTTGTAGACCATCTTAAGTTTTACATCATTGCAGTGTGAAGCATTGAAGTGTTTTAAGCAGAATAATAAAATAATATGATCTGTGTTTTTTAAACATAACCGTGGCTGCTTTATGGAATATGGACTATGAAAGCAGAGACCAATAACAACACTATCTCAGTAGTCCAGGTGAATAACGATAATAGCTTGGGCTAGGGTTGTGATAATAGCGATGATGATAAGTGGTCAGATTCAGGTATAATTTGAGAGTAGAGCCAATAGATTTGCTGATGGCTCGACTGTGGGGTTGTTAGAAGAATCACGAATGACTTCTAGATTTGGGGCTCAAACAAGTGAGTGAATGGTGGTTCCATTTACTAAAACATGTTATATTTGAGATGGTTTTTGGACACCGAGGTAGAAGTGTTGAATAGGCAGTTCTATGTACTAATGTACAAGAGAAGTTAGAATTGAAGATAGAATTTCACCAGGGTTTATGTCAACAATGTTGAGAAGTAGCATAGGCTAAAGGTTAAAGCTTAGGCTCTGAAGAAAACATTTGAATTTGCCTCTGCTCTTCCAGTTGCTGTCTGTAACTTTGAGCAAATTATTGAACCTCACTTTGGAGGCTTATAATTTCTATTCTCATATGATTCTTTGTGAGAAATAAGTGAAATAATGTATCTAAAGCACTTGCCACAGTGCTTGGCACATAGTTAACTGCCAAAAAACCCTAGAACTTTTAAAAAGTGTCATATATCACCTTGCATATTGTGGGGAACACTATAGCCAAGTGGATTTATAACCTTTTAATTGTTTTTATTTTAATTATGTATGTATGTATGTACAAGGCCTGTGTTATCCCCATTATCTAGGTAAGAAAATGGATTTGCTTTCTTCTCAGAAAAATGTTCCATCATCTCATGACTTTTTTTTTTTGTCAATGACATGGGAGATATTATAGTGCTCCTGAATTTTGGGGTCTCCTATTCATGCACAAACCTCCATAACCAGATTTTTTCAGCAACACTCATTCCATTGATACTTTAGAAATTATCTTAGAAACAGGTTAGGTTATAGTGCTATTTAAGGAAACCTGTATAACAACTTCTCTCTGACCCCAACTTCTCTCTATTGGCCTAGGACTGACCCACATACAATGTTTTTCCAAATGACTTGACTATAAAGATCCTGACTGTGTTATTGTTTTCTCAGCTATGGTGATTACTGGGTACAAGTACAGTAGTCTGTAAACAACAACAGACTACAGTCCTTGAAAAACAGAATAAACAAGTTAATATTTCCTTGGTGCCAAAAGAATCATTGTTGGTAATTAGTTACTTCCATTGTGCCCCATATCCTAATAAGGTAAAAAATATTAGTATATGTTAATTAAATATCTGCTCATGGAGTAAAACTCCATAAATATTTATATGCTCACCAAATGGTTATGAACAAAATTCCAACAGGAAGAATATGAAAGTGCTTTTCAGATAAATAGAAATTAAAATAGCACTGGAATTTTTCTAAGGTGAGATAATAGAATTGTAAGCTATGGAAAAGCCTCTAGCAATGACAGGGTTCAGAGTGACCAACCATCTCAGGTGGCACAGAACAGGGATTTCCAGGGATGTGGAATTCAGTGCTAAAACTGGGAAGTTCACAGGCACACTGGAACGGCTGGTCACCATACAGGGTGCCCCCTCCAAAATTCTTCTATGAGGTAATTAACACACTGTATCCAAAACTATGTGGAAAGAAATTGCTTTTTTGTCACTTTGTGTATAAATTTGTTTTAATGCAGCCTTTTTTGTGTGTTTGTTTTTAAATGTTTCCATTGTTTTTACGAGGCATAAAATAAGAAAATTTAATTTTAGTTTTAATGTAATTTTAATTTGAAGTTAAATTTTAGCAGAAGTACAGAGAGATACTAATAAGCTAATTGAGTATTTTGCATTTCTTTAAAAATATGTGTGTGTGCTTCAAATGTTGCAAATAACAATTGTTACACCATTGTTGAGAAGCAGATCTTATCACACCAGCTCTATGCAGTAAATAATAAAGCTTAGAGAAACTGAGGTTTTATATCTCATTACAAGTCTGATAGGAAAAGAAAGAAGTCTGATAGAGATAGGATAACTAAAAATAGAACCCAAGATTCCCGACTGAAGCCCTTTCTCTAAATCTTTCTTGTAGAATACAGGCCCTGTAAGACTTTACTACTGAACTTGAGATTCCAAGTAATTATTTATATTATGTGGTAAATTAATGTTGGGACTAGAAGTAGAGTACATGCCCTCAATTAGTCAAAGGTACAAAACTTATTGTGTCTATTTTCCATAAATTGCAAGACACATTTGGCCTAAAAGTGCCCTTTTGCCCCAAGCAAAAACTAGCAAATGATCACCTCCCCAAAAATGACCATGTGTTTGTTCTAACAACTCAGCCACTTGAAGAAAAAAAAAAGTTTTTTTTAAAAACAAACATCTGCAAAACAAATACTTCTCTGTATTTCACAGTATCGCTAGTTTATCCTATTGCCTTATGGATGTATTTGAATGAGGGGGCAAAAAGTGAGCAAACTTATTACTAAGTCTCTCCTCCACGCCAAAGGAGGTGCATGGACATTTAATTTACTTCTTAGGATCTTATGAAGTTGGAATTCTTAACCTCATTTTATAGATGAGGAAAAAAACTCAAAGGTGAGTAGTAATTTGCCAAAGGCCACAACAGGTGGCAGAGCCTTAATAGAAATCTATGTGTTTAGAGTTCAACTCTGCCGTTTTTAGCATACAACTTTAGGAATTATAATAAAATCTTATTCCTATTCTAATATATGCTTTTGTTATTTGTTATAATGGAGTAATTGCTACCCAGCCTACTATTGTCCAGATTGGCAGCATAAATTGCAATATTTTTTTCTTCCTGGAAATAGGTAATAAAATAGAATAATGAATAGATGTCTTATCCTTTATTCACACCATCCTGCTTTATTCTTATAGATACATTCTTAGCATTTTAATGAAAACCTAAAATATATAAGTCACAATTTTTGTTGGTCAACCAATCAATAGTTATTTATTAGTTTCTACTCAGTGCAAAGAACCTTTCTGGGCATCTTGAAAAGGTAGAAAAGAAGAACTCTGGCATCTAATCAATCATTATTTATTTAAGAAGAAGAGACTTAAATAAAAAGGAAAGGTTAGCTCTAAAAATGGTAACTGTGCATTGAAGGCATGTCACGAGTCAAGAAGAGCGGCACACATGGTAGGGGCTGAAAAAGCTTAAAGAAGACAGAAGTCACTAGACTGGGGTATTCTAAGAAGTCATATGCTGGACTTTCTCATACCTCCAAGCCTTCGTGTCAGTCGTTTCTTCTGCCTGACATCCTTCCCAACCTCTCTCTTCCTCTCAAATAATCTGTATGCTTCAAGACTTTCTTTTTTTCAAGCCATTCCAAACCTGGCACTTGATACCTAGAAAATGAGTTATTCCCGTATGTCCCATTCCTAACCAACTCCCAAGATTTGGTAATGTTGGAATGAATTAATATAAACCTAAAGATGTAAACCAATAGACATTTATTCACTTCTTTCCTCAAAGTGTGTTGAATTTTGCCAACAGTAGATCAATATTGGTGTTCTTACCTGTTAATTCTTCTAGGTCTCCATGAAACTTGAAGGTTGTG